TACTTTTTATCTGCTGATGGGCAGGTTCATTTTTTGAATTTTCTTTGGAAGTTTTCTGAAGAACAGACTTCCATATTTCATTATTTCTATTATTAGATACAACTATAAGATTTAGTCCAGAGCAATGCAAGTTAAAGGAGTCATTTCCCTTGTAATTCATCCATTTCCTTCTCAAAGTGGAGCTGTACTAATTAACTAGTGGTTAGGAACATTTTGATATAGATATCACTTTTTAAAGATATGAAAAATTAATTCTACTGTAATTACCGGGTTCACAGTCTGTGAGTGCTGATCTTTTGATACACCTGCTAAACTCTGAAACATACCACTTAATGTGTCACTAAAGTTCCAAACTTAATGGAGACAATCAACTGGCAATAAAGTGGTTTTAATTTTGGTAAGTCTACCTGGAGGAATTAACTGGACAGAGTTTAAGTCCTCATTTTTAGTAGTTCAGCGAGTTAGTCCTGCTGGTTTTACTTCTGGTTCCATTTTTTAATAATTCAAATTTTCAACAGCTGTAAATATTTCTTAATTATTATGATATTCCTTTCTCACTCCAACTCACCAGACTAGAATACAGATTGAATGTGACTTACCATTTTAAAGGCAAAACCAAAATCTGTGAACCCTGTGAGTTCTCCCCAAAGTTCAGTTAATTCCAAAAAAACTGATCTACATTTGAAGTGGTCTTCAAAACAAAATTGCAGTTCTTTTCAAGTTACATTAACATTGGACAGATTTGCAAAAATGGTTAGTGATGCTTTTCTCTTTTATGTGCCTTTGATTTTGACGTGCAGCTTGAATAACAGAGCAGCAGCTTGCCTGGTCTCTCTGTTCTCTAACACTGCAGTTAAAAGTGCTGGCCAGGGGATGACATATCCTAGACAAAGGGAAGCAAAGGTGGGACTTGTGGCTGTTTCATGGATTCCTGACAAAAGAGGAAATAGGAGGAAACGTGGGAGGAATAAGCAGTGAGTGATATCCACATTCTAGCATGGAGAGGAAGGGGAAAAGGGCATATCCCCGGGGATCCTGGAGCTGAGCAAAAATGAAAGCACAAACAGCTTTAAACATGGATGAGAGAAGACAACTTGAGAAGAGAAAAAAACAACAGCTCAGACACAGCCCTGAGCAGCCCTGGCTCCAGAAACACAAGGGTGTGCTCCTGGGGATCAGGCAGCATGGACTGCCCTGTCCCACAGTCTCAGTGAACACCTTCATCTGCACCACACAAAGGCACGACTGCAAAGCTGTTCTTTGGGCACCTCAGAGCATCAGGGCTCTCTCACAGCAAATAATAAAATTTTACCCGATACCAGAAGTTTACCAAGGGTCTCACAAAACTAGTGAGCCTGAGCTCCCTCTGCAATTTCAGCTTTCAGAAAGTTGGACATAATGTTACATGTCAATGGGGTCCCATTTCTTAATTTAAAAAAAAAGAATAAAAATTATGACTTGCTAACTGGTGCCACTCTGGAGGTACTCCTGCCCTGCCTACAATGCTGAACTTAGTTGCAATTGGTATTCATTATTTCCTTATTTAGCCTGAAAAATAATTCTACAGACACATCCAGAATGGAGTCATAATCTAGTCCATGAATAAACCCGCTAATATTTCACTAGTGTGATAGTTAGACACTCCACAAATGAAGAAAAAAGGACAAACAACCTAAAATGGTTGTTTCCTTTTTTTTTTTAAAGCACAATTAATTACGTGTGTAAATACATTAGCAACAGCAACAGCTCTGGACAAGCAATTAGACAAGTAATTATAGAGAAAATGCAATGGAAGGCTCAAACAGATGACCACCCGTCTGCTCACCATCCCAGGTGTTCCTGTGCTCTCTGCATTGTTTGTTTAGGTTTATAAAAAACGTCTGTTCATGGAACTCAGACACAGCTACAAAATGCAATACATGGAATTACAAAGAAACTCAGCCCTCCCATAAACATTTTTCTTTCCCTTTCTCCTACCACTGCTGTCAGCCCAAGGAGCAGTTCTTGTACTCACCAAAGCACATAAACTTCAATACACGTGCTAAAACACGTCCTTGTCGCTGGGTTTAAATATGTGCTCAGGTGCTCTGCTCAGTTAGTCCAGGACTAGGTTTGTGTTTAATTACGTTTCTTAAAACGGGGGGGAGGTGCTACTTTTACAACTTATATTCCTCAAGGCAAAACTGTCAGTCAGAAACATATATAATTTTTTTTTCAGGTTCCCCAGAATGAGACGTTTCACTGTTCTTATCCTTCTGGAATATACCATACTTAGTGCCCAGAATTCCATTTTAATCAATCTGGACATGTGCAAGACAGTGCATATTGCCAGTGGGATTTACATAGGATTCTGTTGCTTAGAAGAAACTGTACTGTGAAATCAGTATCTTTGTCTGGTTCTCACATGTCCTTTAGACACCTTCAGAGGCAAACCAATGCCTTACCACATCCACACTTAAATACTGATTTAAAATGTTAGAAGCAACTCCAACTTTTTCTTGGAGTTCTGATCCTTTTTTTCTGTTACAAAACTGTTTTCCTACCGGAAAAAAATGGGATAATCCTTTACATGAGAATGCTGCAGTTACTTTAAGATCTGTTGTTTTACCTCACTTAATACAGTATTTGGGAAGGGATTTTTTTCAGTAATTTATTCCCTTGAGACAAGTTTATAGCAACTAAACTAATTAGGCATGAGTCTAAGTAAACACAAAAATGCTAATATGCTTCCGAGTGCCTGCACCTAATTAATTACGTTTTGTTTTATATTTATCTTTCAGCCTATATGAAAGTCTCCCATGTGACAGGAGCACTTAATTTCCTTTCCATGTTCAACGTCATCTCACCTTCTACAGCTCCTGTCTCATTTAGGATGGGAGAGGCTGCCCCAATCTGTGCAACAACACAGGTTGGATAAAAAGGATCTGAACTGAGAAAATTAAAGGTATAAAATTGGGAAAGCAGTCACCCTCACACAACTGTTCATAGAATTCATCAAGGTAAAGTGCAAATACACTTTTCCAGTGGAAATCTGGTTTATTTTTAACAGGACTTTAGACTTTTTCTAAACTTTACTATACTGTACTAGATAGTATTTGCATCTATAATCCCATCCTCTGCGTGCATTAGCACTGCAGTGCCCTAAACAGGATGATAGAATCCAAAGTTTAAAACTGCTGTAGTTTTTTAAAGGCTACCTCCTGATTTAAGGACACATATATTTGGTCTTCACACTCTTCTGTGCACTTCTAGCAGATGACACCAAAACCCCTGCTCACGGTCCAAACTGAAAATAATGTCATACACAAAACCATGGACACTTTCCAGTTCACATATTAAGAGGTTCTTAAGAATGAGGAAAAAATCTCGTGCTGCCACTTCTGAGGAGCAGCAGGTAGAAAAGCAACAGTGTCAGTCCTTCTGGTGTACTAACTGCACTGCTTTCTCAGTATTAATGAATGCAGCTTGCCCATGTAGGGTCCTTGATGCTAAGCAAGGCTGTTTAGGCAGCAATTGTGCCAGATTAAGGGGTTATCACTCTACTTTTTGCTGATCCTATCGTCCATTTGATCACTACTGGAGGTTACAGGCTTCTCCAAACTGTCAACTAATGGCATGTGTAATTGCTTCTAACCCAGTTCTGTCTAAATTAATCCAACAGCTAAAACACTTCTAATAACAGGAGTTATCTAACACAGCTCAGCTCGGCAAAACTGGCCCGTGGAGAGACTACAAATGCAATTACACTGACAGATCAGAGAGCCTGCTGGTTTCAGGGAAGGGGTGATGAACAGCTGAAGATGAGGTGTGGAGCAGCAGGAAAACTTTGACACAAGTGAACTGAATCCAAAATGGCAATCTGATAGTAGTGTGACTGTGCTCTGACTTTACATCTCAGATAGATGCACAATAAATATTGATGTCTGGTTTAACAAAGCACTGCTTGGTGAACATCAGACTTTGTCAGCTGCTTCTTTCTTATGCCTCATTTTCCTTTTTAGGTCTCAGAGTATCAGCAATCTGCAGTAGGCAATTACAGCACTATTAGTGAAATGTGACCAACCTGATGGGGAGTGACAGTGGGAAAGACATGGAGACACTTCCTCCTGCTGCCTTCAGACACAACTGGCTCAGTATGAGCGGGTCAAAACTCATATAATCAGCTTTGTTCCAGAGAGCAACTCAAGGGAGCTTTTAAAGGCACTCTTAACTGGCTCAAGGCCTAAAATTAATGAGAACGGAAAAGCATGTCTGGGACGGTTGGCAAAAGCAGATCTAACACGTGTATAACAGGGGAGAGCTTATAAATGTATTTCCATAATAACTCTCTTTACCAGGAAAATTCTTTTCTTCCTCTGCTGTGCCAGCTCAGTGCATCTACCCAGGGCTCTCTGTCCTCCCTCATGCTTTTAGAAACCACCTTTCCACTCCTCCAGGGACCTGAGAACCACCTTTCAAGCCACTCAGTACCTCCTCCTTCCATCTCCTCCCTCCCCTTCACCTTTTTTCCTCCCTCTTTGCTATGAGTTAACTCATTTACAGCATCAAAACAGCAAGCCCAAGTTTTGAGGAAAGGCAGCGCTCAGGAAACTGGTTTACCGGGTAGCTACTGGTTCCTGTATCTACAGACAGTTGTAAATCTGTTGACTTTGTTAACAAGAACAAGAACCAAGTCCCTAATTTTTCATTTTCTTTCATTTTCAGAAAATGCCACAAAGTTCTCTGTATCAACAAGTGAAACTGGAATTCTGCAACCCGGAAAATCTCAGCTCTGCTAATTCAGACTTTTTAAAGAGTTTTACAGACAAACAGAAAAGCATCACTTAGCTGATTACCCGGTTCAGCTAAAAATCTCTTTTATAAAGATATCTAACAAAAAGTCACAAAATGCAACAGCGAAAGCAAATAATCATGGGTATTTCTTTGGTTATTTTCCTTTCAACCGAATTAACAAGTCCACAAAAGTGTTACTGAGGACATGAAACCAGTGGGTTTCTTACCTGAAAGATGTGAAGAGTCACAAAAGTAGGTGCCTTGGTGCTTTTAGAAGTCCTCCTTGAGACTTGGATCCTTTGATGTCTTCCTAGTTGATTTTAAAATAAAGCTACTTACCTGTGTTCATCTCTTTTTGCCAACTATTTGCTGGCACCATTATATATAACATTAATTCCAAAAGGGTAAGATTTCACTCTGTGAGACTAATCTCTTTAGAGGAAAATGATCCCTTCCTTTTTTTCTACCTTTGTATCATGTTCTCAGAACTATACCTATATACCAATCATTTTGATAAGTGAATGACATTTCCCATATTTTTTCAGCCTCTGATTCTCAGCCTTTCCACAGAAGATGGTGGCCCTCACCAGGTACCAATGTCATAACTACTGGCTCTCACAAGGTACCATGGTTTTCAAAATAGTGAAATACTAAGAGCCTAACAAGAATTTAAAAAATAAAGCTTAATTTAAAATCTTTCTCTCTTGAAACGTAAATATTATCTGGAAACACTTGGTTTAAAAATTAACATGAATTCTGAAAAAAAATAAAAGAGTTTCTTGATATTTTCAGAAGGGGAATGTAATTTCTTAGTCTAACTCTTTTAAAATTGTAGTTTACACTGGTTGTTTGCTGGGGGTTTAGTGCTGGGAGACAATTTGGCAATCAAAGTCAGAGACATTTTCTAGCTACCCAGGACCTGGAGCTCAGAATTCATGAATTAGAAAAAAACTTGCACTTAGAGGAATAGTTGCTAAGAAGATCTGATGGCTGCAAGTTACCTCAGCTTCAGCCCCCCAAACCACTCCCATACTGAATGGGAGACATTTATAAAACTGAAACATTTTCATATAACCTTTTTTTGTTCCCCCCACAAAATAGTCATGATAGATATGACACAAAAGCATCAGAATAATTACAGGTCAGAGAAATTCCAACAAACTTTTGAATTTCATCCTCATTTCTCAGTTGTTTCCCATCTATAATTAACAGCTATTAAAAAAGAAAATATCTTTAAAAAATGCAGCACATACCTTGTTATGGTGTCACAGTTACAGCTTCAACAGAAGACCCAGAGGCAGTGGATGAGGAATGTTGGTGTGGGACATATTCGAAGACAGTCTGTGTGGGATGTTACATGGCCTCCTTTGCACATTCATCCCTTGTGTCTCTCCAAAGTGTTTTTATCAGTTTTCCAGTCATGTTCCAGTGATAAAGTCAGTGTGATTTCAGGAACTGGCCTGGACGTGGGGCTCCTGCCTCCTCCTCACATACACACACTCTTTGTGCTTAATACTTGCTGACGATTCAGGCAGAAATCATTTAATCAATTCACATTTAATGACTACTTCAAGGGTAGTTTTACCACTTTTTGAGCTATACACATTTTCTCTCCACAGTTCGTGAGGAAACTTTCCGGAGTTCTGGAGCCGGGACTGTAGCATTTACCACAGCTGACACGTCCTATCATGGCGGCAATCCTGAGGCAGGGTCAGACGGGCTCTCTTTTGACTTAAAAACTAGCCAGGGTTTTCACAGAATCACAGACTTCTGGGATTCCCCAAATCCATAGGTATTTGGTTTCCCTGGGAGGCAGCTGTGGGAGGAGAGCTTCCAGGGACTGCAGCTCCCACAAGCCCATACAATTATCAAATGGACACTGTGAGGCAAAGGCACCTTTTACCCAGCCTGAGTTTCACCTTTTTCCAGGCACACCAGCTCCTGCCGCCTCAGAATCCGAGCTTCTGGCAACCAGCACTGAATTATGATTTTTTTTTTAAACTTCCTCCATCAGGAGTACTGAGTCTTAAATGAAAAACCTGGGATTACGGACAGTGTCACAGATCCACCCCTCAGCCTCCGGCCCTCAGCCCTCAGCGAAGCCAACCAGGCCCTCAGAGCCGCCTGGCCCCTCAGATAGCAAAACCAGCTATTTTATGTGCCCGAAATGAGAGTTTTTAAAGTTCTTTTCATCCCAAACTTGGCATTTTATGTTCCTGATCATCCTGGAGTCTGAAGAAGAAAACAGTACATGTAGGCCTCCCATACAGCAGCATTTGCTCAGTGCATTTGGGCTGACATTTCATTCTTCTTTTCTTTTTTCATTAAAAAAAAAGATCCTAATTGAAAACCCTGCAGAGAAGCTGTCAAGTTAAATTTATGACAAAGGTGGCTGCTTCTGCAGGTCGGTTTTCAAATCCGTGGCTTGAAATGTGACTGACACGTGTGACACGCTCTGACAGGAAAAGAGCTCGTTTGGAAGAACTTTTAAAAATCAATGTTTTTATAATTGGTCTGAGGGTCGGGAAATGGGAAGACAAAGACGCTTTGCTGTTTTTCGGCACATTTATAGGCCATGTTTCAGAAAATTAGTTCCTCAGGAAAATTTCTCCTAGGGGCAGCATTTAAGGATAAGTTTAAGTCCCACAGAGATTTCAGTAATATTAAAGGCTGAGTACAGATTTAAATGCTGTTAAAAGGGTTGATTTTTCTGACAGGCTTTCAAAATCCACTGTTCAGGGAATACACATTTAAAAAGGGGTTCACACGCCTAAGATGTGAAAATGTTGCCAGCAATAATGAAGTGCTGGTAAGCAGACATTTCCGAACCACAGAGTTCCAAAATTTCTTCTTAGCTGAAATTTTCTCACATCCTTTTGTCTGATATCTTCTTTCCAGTACTCATTTTAACTTAAATAGCAGATGGAGTAATCGATTGTAATTAGGTTTGGGTCAAGTCCTGAAAAAAAAGATAGGCTTTTTCAATAAATGAATAAAGAAAGTCTTCATGTCTTAAAAGTAGCATATAACAGTGATTTGAATGTATATTCAACCTCCCCATTATTTAATTATTCTGAATAGAAAAGTCTGATTTTCCTTGCTTTCAAGAGGAATCACTAAGTCTGAAGAATTTTCTTAAAGAAATCAAAATTGCCTTTAAACCAATGTCTTTGTATTTTGGGATTATTTTATTGCCCTTTTTTTTACATTCTGACTGAAAACCCACTTCTACTTTCAAAACTTTTATTTTCGCAAGTTTCCTCATTTTATCAACACAAATGTTTTCTCCAAAGCCTTTCAGAAGACTCCATTACAGTCAGAACTTGAATACAAAATGAAAAAAGAAAATATGTAGTGAAAAGGGTAGAACAGATGGGGAAAGAAAGTAAACCTTAACAAAATTCAAGTCCTTACAGATGTTACTTAAACATTGTAAACAAGGTTTTACTTTTCCCAATGGTCTCCTTCCTTGCCTTTGAATTTTTTGCAGTAATTCCTAATATTGCTGACAAAACTTCAGCCACTTGGATATGAAAAATATTGGGAGCCTTAGTATAGGTGTTGCAGGATTCCAGTTATGGTGTGCATTGATGAGACTTGTTCAGAGCAGGTCTTACCACCAGACTAATGATGTTTCTTTAGTCGTTGTTATTTTTATCATATATTCAAATTCCATTATTAGTAGTATTTGCTCTATGTAGCCTTAGATGTCTAGCATGGCTGCCTAAATTAGGAGTCTAATCTTGTTAGGCTTTTCAGCAGTGAGTGGAGAGAGAAATATGGATTAAAAAGCAGAGCTATTCTAATCCCCAAACTATTAACTATAAATATTTCTATTTATTTATTATAGCTAGGATATATCTCCAGGAGATATTTATCTGTGCCTGTAAATGATGAACATGAAGTGAAATTAGACTGTAAGGATCTAAAACCTGGACTGTGTTTACAGAGAAATTTTCAGGCAAACGTATGTTACTGGTATTGTGACTATTTTATAGCAGAGTAAGGTGAAAAGCAGATATTCAGGTTTCCATTCCAGTGCTAGTGGAACTGCTGTGCTACGCTTCCTCCCCTAAGAGCCCAAAGTAATCAATTTATTTACCAGAGCAAAAAATATCTGAAATTTTACAATTTCCTTAATATTGATTCCTGCTCACTGATGAGCTCTGAAGGGCCCTGGTTTACATCACATTCAGTTAATATTATCAGTTCATTTATGATCTACACCCGGAGTAGCTTATGGCTTCATGCATGGATAGTCACAGCAGCATTGATAAAATGAGACATTTATGGAGCTCAGGTACTAATTATTGGAGACTGGGCTGGCTGAAGGATGTCTTTTATCTGCAGGGTACTGCAGCTAGACAAGTCCAATCTGTCAAGCTTCAAAACTCGAGCTAGGGGTTCCAAGCACAGACTAAGCCCGCCTCTCCCAGACCAAAAAAAAGAAATACATACATCAAGGCTTGATGCTCTTAAGAAGCACCTTTGGATGCTGCAATGGTTTGCTTTGTTTAAGGAGTATGTCCTTCTTGTTTTATCTCTGACAAGAAACTGCTGGTGAGGCAGTTCTTTTGATTCAGATTCTCAAGCTAACCCCAACAGCTCCATTCTGCCTTGTATGTTTGTCATGAAATAAACATTCTCTGAAATAGAGCCATGAACAGCTGTGCCAATTATACCAAACCAGCACCTTTATTTAATCACTCTTTTTGTCATTATTAGCTAACTATTAAATTGAGTATTTACACAACACATTAAAAAAATGCAGAGTACACATATCTCAAAATAATATGCACCTGCCTAGAAACCATTACCACCCATGGACTGTATAGCTGATGAAAAAATGCACTTAAGGCTGTCTGATTGTGTAAAGTGCCTGACAAAGATTAACTCTCAAGCATTTTTTCCTTTAAGTTATCAAATAATTATAATTTCTACTGGAGCAGCTTTACTTACAGATTCATTACTACATAGTCTTAATTACAATTTTGCAATATAATTTAGTAGATTCTTCCTTCATATATTGACTTACAATATTTTGATTCTATACAAAAATTCTCCCCTCACACCAGTTTACTTCAGTAATTCTCAGGTCTAGGACTTTTCGTAAATGCATGATTTTCAATATGTGAGTAGTTCATTTTGCACATTTTGGTGACCTTCTGCGAGAACCAAAGGCACTGGATCTTGCAGAACACACCTTTTAAAGTAATTTTCCTAACAGCTTTGTGATTAAGCACTGCTTTTTCCTGTGAAAATCACCTAAGACTTTCAATGCCTTTGACACAAATAGCACCCACTATTTAAGGTATTGACAAAACACATCATAACCTCACCTGGTTGCTATGGCAGGAAAATCTAAACTCTTGGGCCTAATGGTGGGAGTTAAATGCAAAAGGAAAGGTGTCTGAGTCAGTACTGCAGGATTTAAAGGAAGAGTAGAGGTGCAGTATTTATCAATTTGTTACATTAATATAATTTTCTTACATTAGTTACCTGCATGAAAAAACCTGTGATTTTCCAAAAGGTCTTGATCCATGAATTTTACCAGCAACTGCAGAAAGGGTCATTAGAACCAGGCCAGAGCAGCAGCAGCACCTTATGAACATAAAACCCAAAACAAGTCAGTCTCAAGAAACAAGAACATTTGTTTTTCCTTACATTTGATGTTCTGACAGTCATGATGGAAAACTCTACGGTCTGAACAGACAAACCTATGTCAATATCTTACTCCCAATTAGCATGAACAAGATGTTAAACTTCTAACTTATATTTTTATATCAGCTAAAGGAGTGGCATATTTTAATCTTGGAAGCATTGAATTGGTGTTGAGCATCATACATCATTCTATGAGAGGCTTTATCAGAATGTAAGTTTTAGAGTAAATTTGGCTTATTCTTATCAAAACATGCACACTACTAAGAAATTCCTGCTGCAGTAATCCAACAAAGGCTAATAACTTTGTATCTCCATGTCTTAAGCACTCCTTCTGTAAAAAGGGGGTAAAAATGCTTCCCAGGAACTGTTATGTTGTCAGCTGATCAGATACATCAGGCACATTTACATAAGTGGTTTCCATGATGTGATAATAATAAGGAAAATCATGGATTATAATGCATTTCACTTCAGTATTGTTAGTTTCATTGAGTCTCATTTAATGGATTTATTTCTCTTTGCACTGTTATCTTAGTGCTCCACAATGCAGTATGAACTCTGAATTTAATTAATAATTTAATTAATATTCCCTTTGCTTTTTTCTCGGGATTGGTAAGAAAAATATAAATACAGAATCTAGCAGTTGATCATGAGATACTAGAACGAGGCCACTTCCTGTGCAAAGTGTTCATCACTGCCTTTTGTTTTACTCTTTTGCTCATTTAATTAGTTTCATTTGCCTCTGTACATTTCAACTTACTGTAAAATTACTGTGCACTTATGATATTTTCTACAGAATAAATTAGTATTACCAAAATCCAAATGGGGATAAATTAAATATGCCCTCAAACTGCTAATATCAACTATTTCCTAATTTTTGAGGCACTGACTGTTGATATGGATTTAATTGAATCCATTTGGATAATATGTATATTCTTGTACATAGACACGCTCCGTTCAATTAACTTAATATGTGTTATACCAACTGTGTCTACAGGGAAAATGTATTACTAAAGTTGTTATTTAATAATTAATCGGATATTAATCACCGTTTTTTGCATCTCCAGCCATCTCGAACATTTATGGTTTTTCAATATTTACCAAGTAGTTATATTTTTATACAGAAAGCACTTTTTTTCCAGTAGAAAAATGTGTAGAAAATGTATAGAGACCCAAGCCCTTCGTTTCTCACCATTCTACTCAATAATTCTCTCTTCTGGCTTTATTTTTGCATCACATAAAATCTGTCGGTTTGGGTGAGCATTTTCAAGAGCATATGTATGGCTTGGAACATACAACGCTCATTTCCAAACCTGTCTTTTCATTTCAGAGAACGATTCGCATTTGCCATTTTAAAAGACAGCTCCTATTTTTAGGCCTCCAGTTTGCTTTAAATCATTTTAACCTCACTACCTCAGAAGTGGGGTTTTTTTCCCCTGTTCTTCCTCTCTTTCCCGAAAGTTTTAGAATTTCTCTGAATTCACCAGACCTCGCTTCTGCGGGTAGTTACGTGCACTCCTAACACTAAACGTTTGCTTGATTATCCTGGTGCTGAAAATGGGCACATTTAGTGAAGTGGACCAGGAGGAGATCAATAAAACACCTATCTGTGTTGTTAGCAGAGTACCTCATGTACTGTGCTTATACGCTGTACATAAACCAGCACCGTAAAAGCTGAAAATAACCTTCCAATTGTCTCAAACAGACATTAATCACTTTGTTTGATATTATCATTTGCACTTCATACTAGACCAGCCAATATCGAGCACACAGCCAAAAAACAGAGAAAGATGGATGCGCATCATAAATATTAACTAACACATTTTTAGGCTATAAACTCACTTTGTATCCTTCTCTTACTGAAGGATTTATTCTCCAGCTTAATAACTGTAAACGTCCTATTCCATAATGGTTCTCCTTCCAGCTAGCTGTTTTCTCACCTTGTCCAAGCTTCTTCCTGTAAGACACCAAACTCAATCTCATCTGGAACAATTTTATAATGTGCCCATAATGGTAACAGCATTTCAGAATATTTCTGAAAGTCTCCTGAAAGAACTAATTAATCTCTTTTTTTTTTTTTTTTTTTTAGTCCCCTGAAAACTTCAGCAGCATACCAAATTATGTAGTGAAATCAGAATCACAGTGGAAAACAGATGTTGTGTCTGGAGTTGACCTTTCTGGTGAATAAATTCCAAGCAAAACAACCTTCCTCCTGAGGCTCTCGGCATCACACTGCTGTTCTGCCCCCGTGTATTCAGCTTTTTGCACAGGAGCAATGAGAAAGCAACACCTGGAGGCAAAGTGATCATCTCCTCTCCAAGGTTTGTCAGGCTGGCAGAGGGGAGACATCACGTGCCTAAATCAGGGAAGAAGGAAGGAGGAAGGAATGTTATTTCTATCTAAAAAGGTTCCAAGCCTTTTTAGATATAAAGCTGATTAAGCTAGAGCTAAATGCAAGGTGATTTCTACACACAGGCTTTTCTATTCTTCATAGATTCTAACTGTGATTTGGAGACAGATTTTGATAGAAACAAACTGTTCTTTGGGAAATTTCTGCAAAACAAGACATCCAATGGGTTTGACCTCAAACAACAGGAACACAGAGGGTTTTTTCCATCACTTTCAACTTGGATTTTCATTCTGCTTTCTACTTTTCTGTTCAATTCTTTGTTTCTGTATTTTGAAATCTTGCATTTTAGCTTGTCTCTGAATTCTCCAAAGGCCTTCTAGAGGATTTCAAGAAAGGGAGTCCTAAATTCTCCTTCTCTAAATTACAAAAAACTCTGAACGATTTCTGTTCTCAAACCATAGCACCACTGGAGAACAATTTTGTTCATAAACAACAGAACCTTTTCTTCCTGAATACATAAGATCATACTAAGAATCAACCAAAATTGTATGTTATCCTGTTTACATTTTACCTTCATTCCTTCTCAGTACAACATGAAATAAATTTTCCTGAATCTTGTAATGAGAGAATTTAATATATCTGCATAGAAAAGTTTTAAAGAAGTATATCGAGTCACAAGTTTTATGGGTTTTTCTCTCTCCATTCAGCCTCTGATACACAAAAAAAATATACAAATGTGAATTCCAGAAACTGAGAAACAACTGTCCCTTTAAACTTAACAAATGCTGTCTAATGATTTTTGGTTTTTTAAAGGAGGAACTTGTTCCTCAGTAAGATGAAATATATGTTTCTCTCATGCCCATATTTCAAGTGGATAAGAGATTTTCAGCAGCTCATCACATTTGGAAGCATGTGTTCTGCTGAAAATGAACGAGTTTCAAGTTCCAAAAACAGCTGTAGTTTTTGAAGGTCACTGCCCACATTTATCACCTCTTAAAGGCCTTCCCATAAACCATAAAATGGAAGCTTTCCTAGATATTTTCTGAGAAGAATACAATAAGTTAACACTTGGTACAAGTCAGTACTTTCCCAGATGGCTTATCACAATATTTAAATCATTGCAGCGAGTCTCCCTTGTCCCACATAAGGCAAAACAGTGGAATGGAATTCAGATGAAGAATATAAGTATTTGTTGAAAAGAAATTTTTGGGGGGTGAGATTTTACTAAGAAGCAAACATTTAACTTGACTCATAACTGAGGAGCCCGCTGAAGTGGGCTATTAATCTTCTCCTCCCAGTAAGATTGCTTTCCTCAAGTACCGCCTCAGGACCAGCAATCCCAGAGACAAAACACTGGAAGTACAAAAGAACTGCTGTAAATGGATCATTCAAATACGTACCCAGATGATACTTGAGAGCTAAACTTGAGAGCTCACTTACATCCTGTAAATATATGCATTTTCCAGTGTAATGGAGATGTCTTTTCAAACAAGGCCTGGGTGTATAAACAATAATTGCAGAGCATAACACTCTAATATCCTTTGTGAAGTCAAAGCTAACAAGTTATAAAGAGACTGAAACTTCCTACTTTCCATCCCATGAGCCCACAGGAATAAAATGCATTCGGTTTACTTTATTAAGAAATGTTATTAAACCAATCAATCCAAGAACTAAGACTTCAATGAATCAAAAATAAGCTTTGTTCCTGCATGCTGCAACACCGTATATGTCCTTTAAATTAACTTTTAAATCACAAAAATACTCTATCTTGGATCTGGTCTCCAGAGCAAAGCTGTATAAAAGAAGACTCAAGGGAGTTATTAAGTAAAACTTGCACAACAGGAGAAATTTTTGACACAGGCCACTTTCTCTACGTCGAGTTTGCTCAGAAGAATCATGGTGGAGCACACAAGGATGCAGCACAAACTCCCAGGCCATTGACTCATTGAAAACTACATTTTGAAAGACTGGCCGCTATCTCCACTTAACTTTTCTTACTCCTACCTGGAATTCTTCAGCTTCCTGAGTTTTTTGGGTTTTTTTGAAAGAACAATAGTCTTCAGAGACATCATACTACAAAGGAGTAGGGCTACAATAAATCCTTAGGAGAAATTTCACCGTGGAAGAGCACTAAGCAGCAGGACATGAAAGACAGGCAGCTTCTCAGATGCTGCACAAAGCTTGAATTATTTAGACCAGATAAAACACGCCCAAAAATGGATCAGATGAGAAGTAATAAGGTCAGAGAGAAAACAAATGCAAGAGGATGGTTATTAAGCCTTTTTCACTCTTAATCACTGGCAAAGAAGAACTTGCTTCTGGTATTCTATTATTGATTCCTGGTGAGTCACTTCTCATTCATTAATTTAGAATCTCATAGCTGTTACCAAGAGAAACAAATATACTTCTCCATGTCATATAACATCACCCAGACAACTTGTACTGAAGGTCTTATCACGCAGGTTTGCCTTCAGTGGAAAGCTGGTGTGCTCCATACTGGAGCACACTGAGCTATGTTTCTATGGATGTCCTTTTAGAGTGACATCTTCTCATGGGCTACAATTTAAGACTGAGTCTATTGATCATACATCTCTTTATGTTATAAAGGTATTTTACTATATAAAGTCTTTTCTAAAAAAAAAACCAAAACTATTTCTCTGTGGAAAAACAAATCTATTTAATATGTTTTAACCTAAATAAAAAAACCAGTTTGAGAAAAATTAAGTAATATGTCTAATAAAATCATAAAATGCAATTTTAAGCTACAGTGAGCTGAGTAAAATGTGACATAGGAGCTTGCATTTTTTATTAGAGTTCATTAATCTTGTTAATGACTTATTGAATATCCCTGTGCATTGTAAAAATTGATCCCAGTGGTTATACTGTTGTTTGCTTTAGCAACCTCTTCCAACAGCCACAGAGTATTTCTGCAGTCCATTCTCTGCAATGCTGCAGGGAACACTGCAGCAGATGTGATTCATGGCTGGGAACAAATTTAAAGATCTAGCATTGTTCTGAAACGAACATCAACTTTTATTTTTCCCTCCCTACATGGATAAGAGGAGTATGTGCATCCTCTGAAATACAGTGAGTTACCTATGAACGGGAGCTACCAGCTTTGCTTTCTCAAATTTGCTGTCCTGAGTTTGGCTGCAATTCTATTTTTTATGTAGAATATCTCTATAAATCTTACAAATAACAAGAGAATTTCTGTCCCAAGTTTAAGAAGTGTGAGCACACACCATATTTGATGAAGAATATCCAGTTTGGTTCGATTTGAAGCGCTGCCTTGACCTGACTGTGGCTTTGTGCCTTCTCTGCTCAAACTACCTTACAGCCTCCAAAATGGATCTGCATGTGTATATTAAGCACAAATCTAAAGGATAAATCAATACCCCTTCTGTGATAAAGCTTTATGACATCCTAGCCCATACCAGATCACAGCATCTCAGCAACACTGTTCCAAAGAATGTATCCCCAAGTTCCTCAAATCCACACTGGAATAAATGCCAGTCTACTGTGTTTGTGCATTCTGTGCAGACAGTGGTGTTTGATGTGCTGTAATACAGAAAGAAGGGTCACATTATAGCCCACATTCTGTGTTATTACAGGCACATAAAATATAATTTAACACAATAAACGCGGGCGTGAAGGAAGCGATGCCTACAATAGAAACACAAATCCTGGAGGGAGGGCTCTGTCATGTAACCTGCATTCCATACTAATGGAAACCACCCTGAAAACAAGACAGACCCAATAAATCTGATCTTAAATGAAGGAGAAAAAGCTGGCTTGGGATTAATGCCTGTTAATGCTTTTGTTGCCCAACTTGTCATACACATATTTGTTTCTTTTGAATAAATTTACTGGCTCAACAGCAGAAGTGAACATACCTCTTCGTTTATAATTCCTTGTTAAATGAAACTTAGACATACTTGGGGACAACCTGGATACAGCTAAACAAAGAGGTTCATAGTACACGTTAAAATTAATTACTTCAAGCCTTATTTCTAAGTGAAACAGCAGCAGTTGACGGCATCATTAAATACTATCAATACTATTACTAACTCACAATTTTAGAAGAAGCAAAAGAGAGGACTGCGAGAACAATTTTCCCCTAAAAAGGGACAGAATTTTTAATACAGACAAACCCAACTATTTCAGATAATATATCACTGCAGGAAATACACTATTGGCTGTATCATAATGGATTTAATTCTAATAATGACTGGATAAGTAGCACTCTGTTTTATGTTAAAAAAAAAAAAAAAAGAGGTGTATTTATTGCAACTGGAATCTATACCCCATAAAATATGATTCTTTTGCTAAGCAAGGCATTGGTCTCTTTAGCTTAGTCATACCAACTACGAAGTATCTATTTATGCAAAATCTTTGGATTTTTCTAAATTCTCTGAGCTGATTCCCATTCCCTCAGTGGGTCAAAGTCTTCTTTGAACTCATGGACTCTCCCCAGACATATGCTGCTGAAAATGAAGCAAGAAATCAGCTCCATCTAATTTCTCTCAAAAACCCATTTATCAATCATACTCTCATTTATTGTGCTCCTGGGGCACCCAAGAATTAAATAATTATAGATGGCAATTAATAATTGAAACATCCAGGTAGATTTAATAGGAAATTAACTTCTATTTTGTCTCAGAGCTTTCTACCTCACTGCTGCAGGTTTTGTAGGGCTTTTTCCCATTGCTCTTTTTGCTTATAAAAGTCAAGAATGCTGACAAAATGTTGGAGTCAGTGCTATGCTTACTGGAAAGTATGACATGCCAATTTATTTACAGGTGACTCAACCAGCAAAAATAAATATACTAATTTATTGTATATATATACAGGAATAAATCAAGTGTTTGCCAGAGTGGCCTAAGCAGATATGATGGAAACAAGGAAAAGCTGAACACCTGTTGCAATTATTTGAGAGGAAGGACTCACATTTCACTAAAGTATCACATTTTATGTTCTTGAGATTAATCCTACTACTCTTCAGCTGA